ACTTGTAGGAAGTATAATGGGTATAGTACAGAGACTGATTTTGTAGTTAGGAATAATAATTAATTCGTTTACACGAATTAATTATCCAACGAGTCGAGGATAAACTAGTAACGGAATACGACAAGCGTATCGTTCCACGTCAGAGCCAGAACTGCCTTAACGGCGGCCGCTCCGTCCGTTTTATACAAGCAAAACGGGCGCCACCGCAGGTGCAATAGTGCAGGTGTGCGGAGCACGTGTTATTTACAATAATTCTGTCTAGCTACACCAAGCCGCCGCACGTGCAATGGTGCACGTGCCGTCACGGCCATACTGACATGCGTGCGTCCTCGCACGCGCTCCATCACAATCTTAGTTATCTGTAGACAGAAAAACATCGTTCGATTCTCCTGACAAAACAGCGTCTGTTCCGGTCTATATTGACCCTTCAGACTCGGGTGACAGTCAGTTTTGTTCCGGCAGTAAGCCCTACAAAACTTTAATCATCTTTATGTTAAATTGGAATGATTAGTCTGTAGCTTTTTCTATTTTCTCTTTTTTTTTTCAAGTACTGTTTTCGCTAGTCCGGAATCACTATTCCCTATAGCCATATCATTGGACCGGCACAAAGCCCTGCAATGATTGTAAGAACTATTCATTTTTTTCAGTACTATTTATGCTACTCCGGAATCAATATTCCCTGTAGCTATATCATTGGACCGGCAAACGCCCTGCAATGATAGTAAGAACCACATTTTTTTTTTCTTACTCTCTTTTTTTTCAATTCAGTATAGTAGTATTCAGTTACAGGCCAACCATACCGCAAACATGTCCCCGTCACAATCACACAAAAGTGTATCGTGAGGGACGTAGTGACACGATAACACCTAAGTATGTAAACCAACAGCAACTCGACACCTATCCCAGTGCAGCACAGACCAGCCTCCCTGCAACTTCATGTTCCTTTCCTGCTCTAGAATAATTACTTCGCTAGAGTGTTGCAACGTCTCTAGTATTTTCTAGATGCACAGACACGGCTACCTCTGACTGTCGCACGTCCTCGTGCGGTTGACAATGAACAGCATACGGTCTATCAGTTATCACCACCTGCTAACAGATATAAACTCTTGTTAAATATTACAACGGTCGACCATCCCAGACTTCATTTAGGTCTGGAACGCGCCGATATGGCTACCTCCAGTCAAACGCACTACAGCTTTTCGTTCTGCAGCGTTCGTGTCACATTCGCGCCAGCAAGCCGTCGCGCCGTACTAGCGCTAGCGAATCGTCGCACTGCTTTGCAAAATTAAAAGAAATCGAGAAAAATGTATTGCGAACCATGGAATTCCGAGCTTCCAAAATTCATCACATATTCTCTTAAGAAACTGCAACTGTATGACATTTGAAAACATTGCAAAAAATATGGAAACTATGTGTAGAGACAGATACCACAACATATTTCGAAGCGAAGGAGGCAACTGCGCAAAATCTACGAAAGCCGTCCATTTACAGCGCCAAAGCCCCATTTGTTCGGCGGCCGCTTGAACTGCCCTGCCGTAAGATCAGCCGATAAGTAACCGACTGTAGCGGTGTAGGCTCAATCTAACCAGCGCTCGGCCGTACCTGACCATGTTCGATTAGCCATCACAACGTCTTCCTCATTGATCATAGTTGTAGTGACTTCTACGAATCCCTCGACATCAAATCCCAATCTTGTCGACGACACAATATTCGGAGTAAACTGCAACACTGATCAACACATTAGAACACAAAAATGTCACTTATTATTTTCAATTCATAGTGTTAAAGTTAATCCTTTATTGTAGTACAACCCTTAAACGTTTTGAACTTGAAAATTTAGCAAATGATAATCATGTTTCGCGTGAACTATCAAATTACAACAAAACTTGAATAAGTTAATTAGAAAGCCTCCAACATTTCTTTTGACATTTGTTAACATATGTAGGTACGTTAAGAAATAATGAAAATACTTGCGGGTACTTTTAATACAAATCGAACAAAAGGATTTATCTTTTGGCTTAAATAATTTCTTACTTACTTACTTACTTATCTTCACGCACAATCCCTGACGGGGTAGCCAGAGAGAACAGATCGCCAAGTGTCACGATCCTTACAAACCTCTTTCGCTTCTTTTAGATATCATTATCTTCTTCATGCATGCACGTCTAAGTATCCGAGTACTTTTGACCCTATCCTCTTCGAGCAATTTGCTCACATGGTCTTCGAAAGTCGGTCTTCCTCGACACCTTTTAATATTAACTTTCGCGCTATATATTTTCTTCACCATTCGGTCTTCACTCATTCGCTCAACGTGCCCAAACCACCGAAGCACGCCCTTATCAATTTTTGTGATAAGGTCATCTTTCAAACCTGCCATATTGCGAATCTCTTCGTTTCGCTTTCGGTCGGCCATGGTAACGCCGCACATTTTACGAAGAGATCGCATCTCCACTGCATTCAACTTACTTTTATGCTTCTTTTGGCATACCCAGGTTTCCCTGCCATATAACAAAGTCGGTACCAACACTGCGTTATGTATTGCAAGGCGTGCACTCTTCGCTACGCCTTGCCTTTTGACTAACGCAGCCAGGGCACCATTGACTTTGTTCCCGGCAGCGACACGCCTGTCCACATCTAAATCACATCTTTCATCCCGGCTAAAAGCACTCCCCAAGTATACAATTTCATTTACCTTGTGGCGACATGCATTTTTGTCATTCTTTTGCATGTTTAAGTAACGGCGTGTGCGCCGACGCGAAGTTCGTGTCGGTTGGGGTCGGAAATGCTCGGCCCCGTTAGCGCTGCCTTCGTGACGGTCCGGGCGCCTTCGGTTTTTTCTGGCAGTCAGCATTTAAACGGCCTCAACGCTAGACCTCACACTCGCGCCGCCGGAATAACGGTTATTTTTAAATCACGTCTAACTTATTCTCGGCTTCCTATCTCGAGCACTCCTTACTTCTAATTAGTAATTGTATTTTCATTATTCATTGTTTTTGCTACGTACTTATAAATTTAAATTGCCTGTGTAATAGAAGAATATATCTACATTTTGTGTTTGAGAGTAAAAACGCTTTTATTTGCCTAGCAACAACCCCACAAGTGGTGACCCCGAGAGGAACATAGCGTACAAAGTACATCAAAATGTGGCAAGATGCTAGCGCAGATGCATCGAAAAGCAGCACTGGTGACAAGGAAGCGGTACTTTGCCGAGTAGGCATTAAGATGCCGCCATTTTGGCCCGAAAAACCGACGCTTTGGTTTGCACAGTTGGATTGCCAATTCGCATTAGCGAATATTACATCGGATGTCACAAAATATTATCATGTTATATCAGTGTTGGATCCAAAAATTGCTGCGGAAGTCGAAGATCTAATAATTAGACCACCGGCGAACGAGAAATACGACACATTAAAACGTGAGTTGATTGCTAGACTATCTGCTTCAAGAAGTGAGCAAATCAAACAGTTGCTCATGAATGAGGAATTGGGAGATCGCAAGCCAAGCCCGTTTTTGCGGCATATTCGCAGTTTAGCCGGATCAGGGTTCCCAGATGAGGTCCTGCGCACCTTATGGTCGAGTCGGCTACCCAGTTTGCTACAAACTATAGTGGCAATGCAAGATAACCTTCCACTCGACCAACTTGCCCAATTAGCCGATAAAGTAGCTGAGGTTACGCCATATACGTCAGCACAACAAGTAGCTTCAACATCCACTTCAGACTCATCGCCAGCATTCGAAGACCTGAATCGGAAGATTGATGCGCTGACCAAGAGGCTCGATGAAATGTCGACAGCAAGAGGACGTCGCGACTTCCCGAAAGGGAGGTCGAAATCCAGCAGCCGGGGCCGCAGTCAGTCGAGAAGTCGTTCTCGTGCTGATGGCCAGCGATACTGCTGGTATCACTTCAACTACGGCGAGAAAGCAGCTAAGTGCATAAAGCCTTGTAAATATACAAAAAACTAGTTGGGCGGTCGATAGCTGCGACCGCTGATGAGTGTAAGTCGAACGCTAAGCGTTTGTTCGTCACTGACGCTAAAACTAAAGTGCAGTTTTTAGTCGACACTGGATCTGATTTTTGTGTTTACCCGTTAAGCTTAGTGCGCATGTAGCGACGCAATAAAACTAATTATGAGCTTTTCGCCGCAAATAATACTGTAATTGCTACATATGGTTGGTTAAGTTTATGTTTAGATTTAGGTTTAAGGCGCGCATTTTCTTGGCGCTTTGTAATAGCTAATGTGAGCAAGCCGATAATAGGTGTAGACTTTCTATCCTTCTATAACTTACTCGTGGACGTACGTAATTCGCGATTAATTGATAATTGCACTTCGCTTACGTCAGTCGCCTCGAATGCATTTGCTTGCCCGTGCCCGCACATAAAGGTCATTTCAGGTGATTCATCGTTCCATCGGATACTCCAAGAATATCCTGATATAATGCGGCCGGTCGGAGCTCCTTTGGAGCCAAAAATCAAGCACCATACGCAGCATTATATCAGAACGACCCCAGCCCCACCTGTGTGTTCGCGACCAAGGCGACTAGCACCTGATCGCTTAAAAATCGCGAAGCAGGAGTTTGAAGAAATGGTTCGTACGGGTATAGCGCGTAGGTCGGAGAGCTCATGGTCGTCACCCCTCCATTTAGTGCCTAAAAAGGGCGAAGGTTGGCGACCCTGTGGGGATTACCGTGCACTAAATGCTCGCACGATACCAGATCGATACCCAGTACGCCACATTGCTGACTTTTCGCACAATCTCTTTAATCGTAAAATTTTTAGTAGACTAGACTTAGTGCGAGCGTAGCATCAGATAACGGTTGCGATAGAGGATGTAGAGAAGACAGCTATTACGACACCCTTCGGACTTTTTGAGTTCCCACTAATGAACTTTGGCCTGCGAAATGCCGCGCAAACCTTCCAGCGCTTTATGGACGAGGTCCTCAGGGATCTCGATTTCTGCTTTGCGTACATCGATGACGTATAAGTTGCTTCCGCTAATGAGATGGAGCACCAGGAACATCTACGTGCGGTATTTTCGCGTTTCAGCGAATACGGTATTTTATTAAATACAAATAAGTGTGTATTCGCCGTGCCGCAGGTGGAGTTTCTGGGCTACCTGGTTTCTTCGGAAGGCACTAAACCGGTTGGTGACAAGGTGAAGGCTATTCTCGACTTTAAACTACCTAAAACTATCAGGGATCTTAGGCGGTTTTTAGGAGCATTAAACTTTTATAGACGCTTTATACAGGATGCTGCCAAGCTTCAGGCTCCTCTCCATGCACTACTTAGTGGTCCATCGGTGAAGAGCAAGAGCAACATTAACTGGACTGCTAACCTAGAAAGCGCTTTTAGTGCTTGCAAGGCAAGCATCGCTAATGCCGCTCTTCTGGCTCATCCAGATATGTCTGCTCCGTTGGCCATAGTAACTGACGCATCCAACTCCGCCATTGGTTCAGTATTGCAGCAGAAGGTCCTAGGTCATTGGCAGCCGTTAGGATTCTTTTCGCGTAAGCTTTCACCAACGCAAATTAAATACAGTGCATATGATCTTGAACTCTTAGCTATTTACGAGTCAGTAAAATATTTTCGACATATGATAGAATTAAAACCCTTCTTTATAATGACTGACCATAAACCAATTATTTCAGCCTTTAAGAAGTCCCGCGACGCTTGCTCCCCGCGACAATTTAGGTATTTAGATTTTATATCCCAATTCACAACGGATATCCGTCACATTACCGGGAAGGACAATGTTGTTGCGGATGCGTTATCGAGAACGGATGCAATAACATGGTCGCTAGACCCTATTGCCTTAGCAGCTTCTCAGGACACGGACTCAGAACTCAAAAATATTTTGCGAACCGGTTCGTCTCTCAAGTTACAGAAGGTCTGTATTGGTGGTACGAAAATCTTCTGTGACATATCTGGGCCCAGACATAGACCATTCATAACACCTGCATTCCGTAAAATGGTTTTTGATAATATTCATGGACTTAGTCATCCAAGTGCTAGGGCCACTATCAAATTGGTGACAGAGAAGTATGTATGGCCGGGCATTAGGAAGGATTGCCGGAATTGGGCGCGCTCGTGTATCTCATGCCAGAGATCGAAAGTATCGAGACACGTACACGCCCCTATCCAGGATTTTAAGCTTCCTACGGCCCGTTTCTCTCACGTTCACGTAGACTTGATAGGTCCACTTCCCGTCTCTGATGATTACCGATACTGCTTCACAGCTATAGATAGGTTTACCAGGTGGCCGGAGGCAGTGCCGTTAAAGGATATCAGAGCGGAGAGTGTAGCAAAAGCTTTTATATCATCGTAGATATCACGTTTTGGTTGCCCAGAAAAGGTAACCACATATAGGGGGAAACAGTTTCAATCTCATCTTTTCAGGCAGATATCAGCGCTTATAGGTTCACGACATATACAAACTACTGCGTATCACCCGGCTGCCAATTGTCTAGTGGAACGCTTCCATCGACAACTTAAGGCAGCTATTATGTGTCACGCAGACGAGAACTGGACTGAGAAACTTCCACTAGTACTTCTGGGTATTCGTAGTGCATGGAAGGATGATTTGTCTGCTTCTACTGCTGAACTAGTTTACGGAGAACCGCTTAAGTTACCCGGCGACTTGTTTGAACCGACGGCTGATAGACTGACTGACTACACCGACTTTCTGGACAGGTTGCGTTTACATATGAAAAGGTTACAACCTACACCAGTTACTGGACATGGTACACGTAAAATCTTCGTTTTTAAAGATTTAGCGACTGTTTCACATGTATTTTTACGACAGAACTTTGTACGGAGATCGTTACAATCACCTTATGCCGGTCCGTATAAGGTAATAGAGCGCGGTAAAAAAAAAAATTCAAAATTGACGTTGCTGGTAGAATAGTCAACGTTTCTATCGACAGGTTGAAACCGGCCTATATCCTGACGGATGAACCAGGTAGTTCTGGTGCGACGTCGACTATACCAAGGACGCAGGGGACTAACGTTGCGAGTGATGGTACAAGAGCACTTTCAACTCCTCCGCAATTCAGGACGTCTCGCTACGGTCGCCGAGTACGATTCCCTGATTTCTATCGACCTTAAAGGTCTCCGGGGGGGCTGATGTGGCGACATGCATTTTTGTCATTCTTTTGCATGTTTAAGTAACGGCGTGTGCGCCGACGCGAGGTTCGTGTCGGTTGGGGTCGGAAATGATCGGCCCCGTTAGCGCTGCCTTCGTGACGGTCCGAGCGCCTTCGGTTTTTACTGGCAGTCAGCATTTAAACGGCCTCAACGCTAGACCTCACACTCGCGCCGCCGGAATAACGGTTATTTTTAAATCACGTCTAACTTATTCTCGGCTTCCTATCTCGAGCACTTCTTACTTCTAATTAGTAATTGTATTTTCATTATTCATTGTTTTTGCTACGTACTTATAAATTTAAATTGCTTGTGTAATAGAAGAATATATCTACATTTTGTGTTTGAGAGTAAAAACGCTTTTATTTGCCTAGCAACAACCCCACAACCTGTTCTAGACATTCCTGATTTACCCATATTTCACACTTCGTTCTCTCTTCGTCCCTTTCAAATACCAGAACCTTAGTTTTATTAGCATTCAAACGGAGACCTTTAATTTCATATTCCTCTTTCATACACGTGACTAATGCCTGCAGTTCTGCCTCTGATGGTGCAATAAGCACTGCATCATCAGCATACAGCAGACAATTTACTTTAATGTCACCCAATTTCACACCCAAACAACTATCTTTCAGCTTCTGTAAACAGCTGTCGAGATACAGTATGAACAGCCAGGAAGACATGACACAACCCTGCTTTACGCCCGTTTGGACGTTAAACATGGGTGACAGGTCATGCCCTACCCGCACACAGGCTTTACAGTCACAGTAAAGAGACTGCACAGCCCTTAGCAATTGACCATCCACACCATACCCCGACAACAGTTCCCACATTTTCTTCCTTACAACCTTATCAAATGCTTCCTCAAGATCCACAAAAGCACAGAAAATCTTCTGGTTAGCAGCCAGAAGCTTTTCCGTGATCATGCGGGGAGAAAACATTTGATCCGTGCATCCTCTTCCAGGTCTAAATCCGCATTGTGCCTCCCATAGAAATGTTTCCGATTTCTCTTGCATCCTACGTGTCAAAACCTTCGAGTAAACTTTACTTGCTAAACTGGTCAAGCTGATCGCCCGATAGCACCCGCAGTCAAAATGTGAACCTTTACTTTTATATAAAGGCACAATGACTGCGGATCGCCAATCATCCGGGACATCCCCCGTCCGCCAGCACAAATTGCACAGCAGACGAAAGCTGTCCCAGACGCGAGGCCCACCATACTTGACCATTTCAGCAGTAACTCTGTCTAGTCCCGCAGCCTTACCACATTTCAAACTTCGAATCGCACGTTCAATCTCTTTCATACTGATGACCTCAGTGTCATCGAGGTCCGGGTCTGGCGTACCAGTCACGGCGTCATCCCCGGATCCCTCACTAAGATCATCACACGCATACATTTCTCTATAAAATTCGCTCCATCGCTGCATGACCAGTTGTCAGGTCGGGTTAAGTCAGGTTGTCAGGTCGACGCGGCCTATTTTGATTTTAAGAAGGCGTTTGACCTTGTTGATAATGATATCCTTTTATCGAAATTCGCAATGCTTGGATTCTCTACACCACTTTTAAAATTTATAGCAGATTATCTTAGAGACCGAAAGCAACATGTTAAACTAAGAGGTTATATTTCTCAAGAATATTACACACGCTCGGGTGTGAGTCAAGGTAGTACGCTCGGTCCAACTCTATTTTTAATAATGATTAACGATCTGCCCAGTATTATCTCAACGGCAAAATGTTTAATGTTCGCTGATGATTTAAAACTTTTCCATGCAGTGACCGGAGCTAAGGATTGTATTGCATTACAGCGCGACATTGACGCAGTGTTTGAATGGAGTGTAAAAAACAAATTGCCCCTTAATAGCTCAAAGTGTAAAACTCTAACTTTTTCTCGGTCACGCAACCCAATCAAAACGACATACCAGCTAGCAGGTACTTCATTAGGACGTGTATATTCAATTCGCGATCTAGGCCTAATCATGGATAGTAATTTGGATTTTCATGAACATATTATTAAAACGTGCAAAGAAGCGAATAAAACTCTAGGTTTCATAATTAGAACTTCGTATCAGTTTAAAAATGTCCATGTGATAAAACTCCTGTACAACGCCTACGTGCGAAGTAAGTTAGAGTATAATGCCTCAGTATGGAGCCCCCGAGAAACCCTATATATAATGATGGTGAAAAAATCCAACGTAAGTTCGCCAGATACTTGTACAAACGCCAGTATGGGTACTACCCATTTCTATATCCGTCAACATTTGTATCGGGCATGATTGGTCTGGATACCCTACAGTGTAGGCGAGAACTTATGCATATAATACATTATTATTTTTTGTTAACTAACAAAGTAGATAACCCTGCAGTACGTGAGACCATACATCTTTATGTACCGGACCAATATATGCAAGGCGCTGGTAGACGAAAGCGTAGACTCCTCTCCTGTCCGCATACGTGGCGCTCCCCACACGCGGATAACGGTCCCACTTCCAGATCCGTTAGACTAATAAACTGTTTCTTCAGGGCCAATCCAGAAGCAGATATATTTTTTGACAAACCTAGCGTAATGTATAAAAATGTGTTAATTTTCTTAAATAACTTCGTAAGATAGAAAGAAGAACAGTATAAGTTTAGTTAATTAAGTTTTATTTATGATAAAGTACATGATCTCATTATAAATTGTTATGTCTGTAATTTATATTGTGTATGTTAATATGTAATTATCGGTGATTTTTTTAATTGTTTAATTTTATTTTATTTTGTAGTTTTAGTATAGATATAAGCGATTTGGTTATATATACTGTAAGCTTATATTTTATCAATAAATGAATATGAATGAATAAATGAATATGAATGACGTCCGATTTTTCTGATAGGACGTCATTAGTTCTCGTAAGCACTTTGTTCATTCTTAAGGCCGTCGCACCACTTCAGGCCCTTCCAACCTCTTTCCAGAAGAGTTTGGAGTTCTCCTTAAAGTTGTGCGACAACCTTTCGTCCGCTTCCATTCTACACCTTTCACGCACTTCCTCAATCAGTGCTTTCGTGTGAACTTTCTGCAGCCTATATCTTTATTTCATCTTCTCTCTCATATCCTTATCATTACTAGAGACCAAGTAGTCTAACCATGCTTTCTTCTTCTTCTTTACAGCTTCTTTCACTTCATCATTCCACCATGCATCTCTTCTTTTACTACTGCCTCTTTTTATTGTTCCACACACTTCTTCCGCTGCACTTACCATTCCATCCCTAAGGTTCTGCCATGTTCTTTCTACACATTCTTTTCTGCCATCGATGGTGTCAAGCTTTTCGGCTACCCTCGCATGATATTTGTCCCTAGTATCCGCTTCCTGAAGCTTCCAGCTTTGGATGCGACAGACCGACTGTGGTTCTGTTATTGCCGTCCGGTAGCGCCAACCCGCGAACAGACCCCTAAATCTAGTAATCACTAGATAGTGATCCGTTCCCAGGTCAGCACCCCTGAACACTCGCGTATCCATCACCTGTTTTCGCAGTCGGTCATCCACCAGGAACAAATCGATCATACTTCTCTCATTCTTTCGTTCTCTAGTATACATATGGATTTTCTTGTGATTAAACATAGTGTTTGTCACAAGAAGACCCTTTTCCTTGCACACCGCCAGTATAAGCTTGCCAGCATCATTAACCCTTTTATCGCCAAACTTTCCAAGTACCGACTCGTACCCTGGTCGAGCGGTACCAACCCATCCATTCAAATCACCACATACAACAATTCTTTCGTTTTCCCTAGCCAAATCTAGAACTTCTCTTACATTCTCCCAAAACTCCTCCAGCTCAGCCCAGGACGACGAAGCTACCGGCGCATAAACAGCCAAAAGGAATAACTTCGTCAGTCCCAATTTAAAGCGAACCCAGAGAAGTCTTGAGTTCACAACCTTATATTCAGTCATAACATCGACCAACCTAGAAGACAGCAGCACCCCCACTCCCTGGCAGGCGCTCTCGCTCTCCGGGACTCCGAACCATAGACCTAACGCCCCGCCAGGGAGCTCTTCAGTACCACTGCCCTTCCGCTTGGTCTCCGACATACACACGACATCTAATTCTCTTTCTTTCATTATTTCGATCAACTCATTCGTCTTATCTCTCATGCCTCCTCTAACATTCCACGTGCCAACTCTGCACTCTGTCCTCCACCTTCCGCCG